AGGCTTTCACAGAGTGGCAGAGAAGGCGGCGGCCGGTCAGTGTCTGTGCTGGTGATAGGATGACAAAACAGTCCTTCTAGGCCTAAATTCAAATCTCTTTTGTGAAAGCCACCCACAAAGAGTATTCCTCACTTCATTCTTTGTCAACAGTATTTTCTCTTCCATTTTGATTTTTTTAAAACTTGTTTTCACTGCCTCCGTCACTAAATCAGAGGTCAATTCATGATGTCTTTTCATCTTCTATTTTGTATACTTAATATAATGTGTATGTACATGAGACAACAGTATTTTGTTGTTTTACGGCACTAGTGGCTCGTTTTATGGACAGTAGGCTGACAGGAAAGTGGGTGAGACATGCAGGAAAGGAACACAGGTCAGATTCGAACCCAGGTTGCCCTCGTCAAGGACTAAGGCCTTCATACATGGGTTGAGTGCACTAACCATTGTGCCACCAAGGCACACCCCATAAGACAGCAGTATTAAAGCATTTATCGATATGATGCTATGATCAGCAACATCAGAATATTAGGGTCGGCAGACACTGATTTTGGTGATCACTGATAGGCCCCCAAAGTCCTTATTGGTGCAAATCAAACAAAATAATATTATTAGAATAAATACAAAAAGGTTTAAAAAACAAAAAAAATCAGACTACATTCCTTATGGTTGAAGATGTTCCACTCGTCTGAACAGCTTTGTCAGTGTAGAGCTACTGAGGGAGAACTTTCAAGGGTTAATCTGTTGGGGAAGAGCCATTCTGCTGATTTGATTCCGCATGCTGTTTCTCCCTTACTAACTCTGAGCTGGAAAAAGTTCTTCTGACAAAGAGCAAAACGCTTCAACCAGAAAAGCTTAAGTCTACTTGCTTTGTTTTTCTAAACATTTATTTAGTTTGTGTTGCCCTGTACTGAAAGACTGTGAACATTGACCAACGATTATCTGGACTACAACTTTATTTTACTCTAAAAAGGATAAAGTTTAACTAATCATGTATCTAAAACCTCAAACTTAATGTATGATCAACAGTTGTTTGTTTTTTTCTTAAAAGAGTCATACAACATGGCTGCACGGTGGCGCAGTTTGCAGCAAGAAGGTTGTGGGTTCAATTCCATTTCATTTGTGCATGTCCTCCCCGTGCATGAGTGGGTTTTCTCCAGGTAGTCCAGCTTCGTCCCACAGTCCAAAAACAGACTATTGGGTTAATTGGCATGGTTAACTTGTCCTTAGGTGTGTGTGTGTGTGTGTGTGTGTGTGTGTGTGTGTGTGTGTGTGTGTGTGTGTGTGTGTG